AGAAAAAAAAAAAAAAAAAAAGATATTTGGGCACTTTTTCTTCAAAACCGGTTTCCCGGTTCACCCCCCCGGGTCTGGTCCGGCTCCGGTTGGACTTACTTTCATCCCAGGCTACCAGCCGGGCCGTCCGGGTCCCGGGAAAAAAGCCCGTGCAAGGACCAAGGAAAGTCCCAGCAAAAACAAAAAAAAAAGAAGAAAAAATCAAAAAAAAAAAAAAAGACTATGTTGTGCAGAAAAATAAGCTGAACAACTTTTGCCTCAGGGTCACATCGAAATTCTTCACCAAATTTAAAATAAAAATAATTTCTGTTGTTTTTATTATTTTTTATTGTTTTGGCCCGGCCGGACAAGTGACCCCGGGCCAGTCTGGTAGCCTAGAACTGCCCAGAAAAAAAAAAAATTGGGGCCACGTCGTACTTATTGGATTTAATCTCTTTTCCAAAGGGTCCCCTGCAAAGAATTAGCGGGACCCCATTCATTTGGAAGAACGTGCATTGAACTGCTGGAGGAACACGAGCAGGCCAGCGATATATTCTGGATTCGGATTTAGCTCTTTGGTCTTATGGGTTACAAATTTACTCCAAACGCTACAGTAGCTGTCTCGTTTTTTTTTTTGTTCCTTTTCATACGTGCGTGGCCCTAAGGGCGCCTCGCTTCACTCGTCAGCACTTGCACAAAAGAAAAACATATGCCTTGTATGGTTCCAGTTTCTAGGAGACGATTCATTCTAGTTTTGCACATTTGGTGAGTAGTGGAGTGAAGCCCGGAAAATCACATGCCGAGTTAGTAAGTCAGTAACCCATAACTGCTGAAACACGGACCTGAACTCCAAGCTACACCATATATATCTGGCCTGCTCTCTCCTTGCTACAAGCCCAGCGACCATTCTTCTACTGCTGGCGAGGTCCTTGCTAACTTTTGGCCGGGACCTTTTGAAGTACGTGCAGGAGTTCTCTGAAAAATGTGAAAGGGCTCTTCTCTCTCTCTCTCTCTCTCTCTCTCTCTCTCTCTCTCTCTCTCTCTCTCTCTCTCTCTCTCTCTTGCTCCAGCGTGTATACGCACATTACGGTTACAGTTGCTGCTGCTGCTTTTTTTCCTTTCCCTTATACACATCTAGATGTGTATAAGAGACAGATATATACCTGGCCTGCTCCCTCCTTACTACAAGCCCAGCGGACCATTCTTCTCATGCTGGCGAGGTCCTTGCTAACTTTTGGCCGGGACCTTTTGAAGTACGTGCAGGAGTTCTCTGAAAAATGTGAAAGGGCTCTTCTCTCTCTCTCTCTCTCTCTCTCTCTCTCTCTCTCTCTCTCTCTCTCTCTCTCTCTCTCTCTCTTTCTCTCTCTCTCCTGTCTCTTATACACATCTAGATGTGTATAAGAGACAGGTACTGTTGTTCGGTTATAAACCCTTGTTGCTTGCTTATAACCCCCCACATTCTCTCAATGCTCACAATTCTGTGTCCACGAGTGTTGGAGAAGCATTATACAAGAAAAGGCACGCAATGGTGCAAGTAGACCGCAAACTCTGACAAAACAACAATGGACAGTAGGTCCGAGCAGAGGATGCATTTGTTGTCTGAGGGACGTTGTGTCCGGTTCCCAGCAGGTGCCGCTCACCAGCAATAGAAAGGGGCACATAAAAAAAAAAGAAAGAAGGCCGCTCGTGGGAAGAAGAAGGGAGTAGCATTGGAAACACTCATGTTTGTGGAAGAGAAGGGGCATGAGAAGAAACTGGCCAGGGGCAGGACTTGCACACATCGCCGTAGGTAGAAGCCGGAGGAGGCAGTGGATGGAGCACACTCATGGGAAGAAGAAGGGAGTAGCGTTGGAAACACTCATGTTTGTGGAAGAGAAGGGGCATGAGAAGAAACTGGCCAGGGGCAGGACTTGCACACATCGCCGTAGGTAGAAGCCGGAGGAGGCAGTGGATGGAGCACACTCATGGGAAGAAAAACGTTTATGTTCGTGGAAAAGAAAGGGCATGAGAAGAAACTGGCCAGAAGCTGGAGGAGGCAGTGGGTGGAGCACTGATTCGGTAGGATGGGATGAAGTTCTGTCAGAACTTGAGGAACTATGCAAGAGATTGGGAGCAGCTATTGGTCGGGCTAGATCGGAAAAAGACGATCTTTTGAAGTGCCGCAGTGGCAGAATAAAAGGGAACTGGTGAGGACGAGGGGTAGTAATTAAGTTAACCGTGATGAAAACATCTATTGGAAGGTGTCATGAAAGAAGAATACCACTATGCCAATACAGAGTAGGCTTTGGGAGGGATGGAACATTTATTAGGGCGGTTCAGTGCAGAGGTACATATGTGTTTTCTAGGGTGCAATGGAAGACAGAGTAGGCTAATGTCAGATGGCCTTGGCTGTGCTCAAGTCCTAGTTATGGAAAGGGCAAAAACCAACAGCAGGGCCCACCTGACTGTTGAGCAGCAGCGTCCGATCCAGCTACTAGATCTTTGCTGCTAAAATTCTACACATAACACCCTTTGTCCTTCTACACTACCTTCTGCCTATTCTCCTTCACCAACCAGCAGTATATCCTCCTGTGCACAGGAGCTGCGCCTGATCGAGTTTCCCCCAATACTTCTGTTCCTTGCTGATCGTACTGGTCACGACCTTCTAAAGCTTCAAGCTGAAATTGTTGTCTTTGCTCTACGTGAAACGTAATGATTCTTCCCGTCATCCCTATGTGCATCTTGTGCATCTGTGGAAGGTACTCGCCTTATGAAACCTTGCTCCCCTACTATCCCCAACCAGTTTATCGACGAAGTCATTTCAGTCCCTCTGTGTGACATGACCCGACTTCGGAGAAGTGGCTTTTGTTACGTCCCTTCCTGCTCGCCCCTTCTCTTCATATCCGCTTTCTCTTTGAGAAGACAGCCGTCATTCAAACCACTCGTTCACCACTTGCTCCTGCTAGGTATACCATCCTCTCGTCCTGCTTGGTACCTAAGAAATAATAGAAATATGGATATCATGGTTAAATGAACTTAAAAGTTAAATCCCTATTGCAGCAGTACCGCAGAGTCTTGTAAGGTTTTTATCCTTATGAAACCATACGGACTTAAACTCAGAATTCGAAAAGCTTCAGCATCTCACTACCTCTGCTCTTTCATGCCTCTCTCGGCTCATGGAACACCATGGATAACCTTATCCATAACCTTATCCATAACCTTATCCATAACCTTATCCATCACAAGTGTCACGTGACCTGTTCATTATCCCCTGATAATTTCCTCCCAACCCTTGCAAGTGGTGCATCACCCTACTTCTCACCAGACAAGGGTGAGATGCGTAAATCCAGACATGGTCCAAATAACCAAAAAAAAAGCAGTAATATGGATCGGTGGATCATGAATTTCAAGCTGCTAGTTACGGTCCATTATGTGTGTCAAGTCTATTGTTTGTGGCAGGGCTGTTTCATTAACGCTCTTAAATGACCACTGCAACAGTACCTGCACTGTTCATTTGTCTTGTCTACGAGTACCGGGTCAACGTCTACAGTGCCTGGGATCAGTAAAGGTTCGGTGGGGGGAAATGTACCACAGTCTTTTTTCCTCACGGCGGCACTGTGGATTTTACGGTTGGGGGGGAAATGCACCTTTTGGTTTGTCAAAATAGGTCTGGATGGAGTGGTGGTTTAAGCATGGTTCCAGGTTTTGTCGGGCTGTCGAGGGTTTAGACTCCTGACGAGCTGGTGAAAGTCCAACGAAACAGTCTTCCCTAGCGTCGATTGAGATTGGGTGAGTTCATTGCCAGTGTGTACGAGCTGCTCCTGTCTGTTTTCATTCACTGGCTTATGCATCTGCATGTAAGGATGTATTCACAGCTTGCAGATCCCATGCAGCTCAAAATCACTTGCAAGTCGTTTTGTTTGTGTAATAGCAAACCACCTGGACAACTACCATGGAAGGTGTGTCATGGAGTGCTTGGAAGAGGAGATGCAGGAAAGAAAGATAATCCAGCTGCCCGAACTTTTTGATTCAGGCTGCATCAGGCAGTCTTAATCGTGCCACCCCAACTTTTGGATTCAGGCCCTGTGAGGGGAACATAATTCCACTGCAGATGATCTTCCGGTCACAGGTTAAAAGGTCACGCACGTGGATTGGAACGTTTCCAATGCTGGTGGGCAGGTGGGGGAAAGGTTGTCAATCTGTCGTCAAGAACCTATCCCCCGGAACCAACAGGCCTAGCGCAGTGGGTACACCCATGACCTGTTGAAATGCAGATCCAAGTTCGAATCCAGATGAAATCAGATGACAGAATATGACCATTCCTGAATTACCAGGGGCCAGTTAGCTCAATGAGGATATCTCAAGGCCATCGGCCTTCTGAGAAAGAGAACCTGTACCTCGGATTTCGACTGCTTCGGATAGGGATTGCACAAGTGGACTTGGAAATCTTTTTCATATTCTTTTTGCGGAGCAGCAGATATCGGTCAAGAGTCAAGACCACAAGGGCTGAAATTCAAGAAGACAATGGGATCACTGTTCTGAAGCAAATTCCACAACATGGAGAACAGGAGGCTGAACAGTAGAGGGAGAATGGTGATAAAGAATAGGGAAGGACAGAGGGGTGTAAAGAAAAAAAAGTGGCATCAGCAGACGACAGGAGGATGGCTGAACTGTAGGTCAGAAAGAAGGCAGGAGGATGGCTGAGCTGCATGTCAAAAGAAGAAAGATAGTAAATTGAATACCACTACATGAAAAACAGAAGGCATCAGTGCATGACAGGGAGATGGCTGCAGTGCAGGTAAAAAAGAGGCAGGAGTTTGAAAGATCGCAAATTCCGCAATATGAAAAACAGGAATCAAAAAGAGGCAGGGGGGTGAAAGATTTTGGCGACGGAATTCAGGTTGTGCTCCACAAAGGGAGATGTGGGAAGACATTTTAGGAGAAGTTTCTCATGCGAGTAGCTGCTTGGTCTCAGCACAGCAAAGAGGGTAACTTTGTAATGGGTATGGCGCCGGGTTTCAGTCGTTAAGAAAACAGGTTGTACCAGGTCAAAAAAAAAAAAAAAAAAAAAAAAAGGGTGTACCAGGTCAGGAACGTGTCCGTACCGGGGAAAAGGTAGTGTAAGGGTTGGGACTTCGTGCATAAATGTTGTGCTCAGGGGACACAGTAACGGCCTGGGAAATGGACAAATGATCAATCTGGAGACCCGAACTATAAGGTATTAGGGGGGTCTCTTAGCGTCAGCCCGAGCTCGCCGTTTAAAAGGCGGAAGGTGCGCCAGAGGTATGGTCGCTACAATTGAATGAAAGCCACAGCATTAGGGCTTCGTACTTTTTTTTTTTTTTTTTTTTGGACCATTTCTCGGTGTCATCCTTGCACAGGGGTCATGCTAATCTGCTCTGGATCGTTCCAATTTTAACGGATGCTGTGTACTTTCTTCTTTACTTCGAACGATGGGCTAATGCATGAACATGTGATTTCTGCAACAGGATGCTCAAACGCCGTGTACTGCAAAAACGACGTCTTGTCCTCCAGAGGGAATACGCACTTGCGGCTGGAAGAGCAAGGGCGGCCGGCTTTGGTGTCGAAACTGTACAGGCCTTGTTAGCGTTTGCCGAGTGCTTTGAGGCAAACAGATTGAGGTTAGTATTCCCAATCTCCTTTTGATTATAAAGTTTACTCTAACGGTGTTGAAAGTTGAAACCCTAATTGTTCCCAGTACTTCCTACCCAGGTTTACTATCTGGAACTGGTATTTAATCCTATTTATCGGTCATTATGCACAGACTGTAGAGAATAATTCCTTCCTGTTCTCATTCCTTCCTATACGTCGTAAATGACCACTGCCCCGAAGCAAAGGTAAATGGGTGCAATTCCCCAAGCCTGGTGGATCAATCCAAAGAGTTCTGGCCCTACAGGAGCGGCATACTTTCGCCACCCGATTCCAGTTTTTTTTTTTTTTTTTTTTTTTTTTTTTCAATTTTTGTCTTCGAACACTAGTTGGGGTTACAATGGGTTGTTTGGTTTTACTCATTTCTTTCCCGAAAGAACTCAATCCATGTGCCTGATGTTTTTCAGAATATTTCGTCAAAACTTGTGTGTGTGCAACATGGCCAAAGTTGGTGCACTCAAAATTTATTCCCCCTATGTTCAGCAGGTTGACCTGGCTTGTGACCAGTCTGTATGCCGTCACGCCCTTTGGGATGCGTCGGGAGCGGTGGGTCGCAACCCTTGGGATGCATCGGGTGCAGAGGGCGTTAGGTCATTTATTTGTTGCAAGTTAACTCCGAAGTTCATTGTTGGTTAGCATGTGACCAGGAAAGTCAAGGAAGTGCAACAGGCTTGAGGAAATGGGATGGTTTGTTTGATCCAGAAGTGAGAATCGTTATCGTTGGTATGTGATTCACGTTCCAGTAGATTGCCTGCATGCCGTCTGTTAGCTGAAGGCCTCTACTGATGCCCATGGCTAATTCAGGGGGAGAGAGAGG